AAAAAAAAAACCTTAAAAAAAACATAAAACCTTGTTACCTTTTGTACTTATTTTGTCCAATTCTTTGTTCAAGACAAGAAGAACCTAGAAACCACCTCTGGAAGGAGACCCCAGAATACAATAATAGCATAAAGCACAGTTTAAAAATAAAGACACAAACAGAGTAAATATAAAAGGATAAAAAAGGTTTTTCAAGCCAATACTAGTCAAAATGAAGCTACATTAAATTAAAAGGAGTGATTAAATTAATTTCAGAACCTGGTGTAATGGCACACACCTCTAATCCCAGCACTTGGGAGGCTGAGGCATGAGGAGAGACAAAGTCTGAGGTCAGCCTGGACTACATAGTGAGTTCAAAGCCAGCCTGAACTATACAACAAATTCTGTCTCAAAAAAAAGTGGTTTTTCTACAATATGGTATACTACTTAGGCATAAAGAATGAGAAACTAGAGGGGGATGGGGATTTAGCTCAGTGGTTCTGCCATCTGCCTTGCAAACAGAAGGTCCTGAGTTCGATCCCCGGGACCAAAAAAAAAAAAAAAAACAAGAATGAGAAAATAGAAACATTTATAGCTAAATGGATGCACATTGAGGCTATACTTTTTTTAATGAACAAGTTTTATTTTATTTTTTTTTTTTTGGTACCTGGAATCAAACTTAGGTCCTTATGTTTACAAGGCAGGCAGCAGAACCACTGAGCTAAATTTGAAGCTATACTCTTAAGTGAAATAAATAGGACACACTTGAGAAAATACCAAATAATTTCTCTGGTGTGAAAAACTAAAAGTGTAAATAAGGTTCAAATTGTAAAATTGGGAGTATGAAATAGGAAGAAAGTGGCTAAAGGGGAAGTGGGAAGGGGATGGGGAAAGGAAATAAGGGAAAAGAAAAAAATGGAAAAAAAAGAAAAAAAAGGAAAAGTCTTTGTAAATAGGGAAGGGTGAAGGGGGTGAAGGGAGGGCAGGGGAATGGGGAAAACACAAGAACCAAGATATATCATGTAAAGGTACAAGATCCCAGTGATAAATGTAACTGTATTGTTTTCTTTAAATGTAATAATAAACTTAATGGGGAAAAAAAGCAGAAGTTAGAGCAAAGAATATTACCAGTAACAAAATGTTCATTTTACAGTGATGAAGAATCTCAAAAGCTGGTGTACTGGTAAATACCTATAATCCCAGCAATGTGGGTAGCTGAGGCATAAGGGACTACAAGACTAATCCCAGCCTGAGCAATTTAAAGCAATTTAGCAAGATCCTGCCTCTAAAAATTAAAAGAGCTGGGGATATAGCTTAGTGGTACAGTGCCCCCTGGCTTCAATCTTTAGTACCAACCCCCACATACACACAGTAAATAAAACAAAACCCTGATAGAAAACCAAGTAAAGGCTGGGAGTGGTGGCTCAGGCCTGTAATCACAGAACTCAGGAGGCTGAGGCAGGAGGATTGTTGTGAATTTAATGCCAGCCTGAACTAGTGAGAACTTGTCTCAAAAAAAAGAGAGAGAGAGAGAAATGCAAGGAAAAATATACAAGGTGTGACAGAAAAATAGTGTTTTTTAAAGCATTGTTATAGTAAAAGATATGTTGCCATTAATCCTTCAAAATACTCCTCAGTTCTTCAAACATATTTATCCCATCATTGTCATCACTTTCTGAAGCAGTTCTGGAAGTACTCTTTCATAAGTGTCTTTAGTTGCACTATCACGGCTGTTTTGATGTCCTGAATCAAATCAAAACATTGACCTTTCATAGTCATTTTGACTTTGGGGAAGAGCCAGAAGTCTCGTGGTGCCAGATCCAATGACTGAGGTGAATGAGGATGTGCCACAATGTTTTCAAAGCTACTGTTCCATTCAATGGCATGTGGCAGTAGTTTTCACTATATTTTTAAAATCACACTTTACAGAGAGACATTCATGAAAGAGGACTTCCAGAACTGCTTTAGAAAGTGGCAAGAACAATGGGATACAGTGTTCGAAGTGAGACTGAGTAATTTGTATATTTTACTGATACAATTTTTAAAATTCTAAATATTCGCCATATTTTTCAATCACCTCTTGTATTAATAATTGTAGCTGGAGATTTTAACAACCCTCTCTATTAACAATTTCTTGTTTTTGAGACAGGGTCTCACTTTGTTGTACAGGCTGGTCTTGAACTCACTATGTAGCCCAGGCTGACCTGGAACTCAGGCAATCTTTTTGCCTCAGCCTCCCAACTGCTGGGATTACAGGCGTGTGCCTTCACATCCTGCTCTGTTAACAACTGGCAGACAAGAAGACAGAAAATCAGGAAGGATATAAATGGCTTAACTAACACTGTCAACCAACTGCACCTGATTAATTTTCTCAGCATGCTGTACCCAATCACAGCATATTCTTTTCCAATGCAAATAGAGCATTTAGCAAGAAAGACTATATTCTGGGTCACAAAACAAGTTTCAATATATTTAAGAGGATTCAAACTGTATAAAGTATGTTATCACAGAACTCAGTGACAGAAAGATAGCTGGATAGTCCCAAATGTCTGGATATCAAGTAACATCCTTTTATATATTCAGTGGATCAAAGAAATAAAAAGGGAAAGTTAAGTATTAACTGAATGACAATGAAAACACAACATATGAAAGTTTGTGGGTGAGCCAGGTGTGATGGCACACACCTATAATCCCAGCATCTGGGAGGCTGGGCAGGAGGATCACTGTGACTTTGAGGCCAGCTTAGTCTACATAGTGGGTTCAAGGACAGTCTGGACCACATAGCAAGACCCTGTCTAAAAAAAAAAAAATTAAAAACTGAAGTTTGTGTGATGCAGCTTTTTCTCTAGTAGATTTGCAGTAGAATTAAAAAAGAGCTACTTAAGAGAGGAAGCCATATTCAAACACAAGTAAAGTAGCTCCTGAGTTTATAGTCTAAACCACAATGAAGAAACCAGGCCCAGAAACCCTAAGTATTCATTAAATCTATGTAGTCAATAAGTGGGAGCTCTGTCTAGCTCCAAGAAACCCATAACCGTACATAGCTAATATGTTTGTCCACTGATTCTGTGATTCAATTCATAATACCTGCCAGACGTCAGGTGTTTTTAGGCCCTAATGCCTAGCTCATTATAGTGCTTAATTTACCCAGACAGACATAATGAATAACCATTTCATATCCATGATACAATTTCAGAAGTGTTAAGTAGCACAGAAAAGGAATACTGGGTAAATGGGATATACAATAATAATGAGCGATAGAAGATGCTGCTACAGGATGAAAAGTCAGGGATCATTCAGAGGTAAGGATGCTCATTCTAAGATCTGAAAAGCAGGACAGAGTCAGGCATAAATGGATGAGTGAGTTGGGATGTGCAAGGAAAGGAATAGGTGGCCACGTGGTAGAACCTGCCGCGTGGAAGGGAGGAAGCTGAAGGATGCTGGAAAGGAGTCAGGGCCTGTGGACCAGGTTTCTGCAGCTGGTGGACAGATCAAACCAGACATCTTCTCTGGCCCTTGAAGCTCCAGAGCTAGGACAGAACCATCTGGCTTACCGTTGAGGTGAGCCTGCAGGGGTTTGTCATCTATCAACTCCAGATGCTGCCAGATCCACTTGTAATAGTAAGGGGACGTCCCAAGGTCTATCAGCCGCAGGACTTCACAGCTGCCCTGGACACATCAAGAACAAATAAAGGATTAAACCTCGATGCACCAGGCAGGCTAGAATTTGCAAGTAAACTCTCTATACTGCAGCTGACTCCATTTTGTTTCATTTGTTAATGCAAGTTGTTTTGTATTACTTTCTTCTCTTTAATGACCTTACTATCTACTCATCATTAGAAAATGCAAATAGCTAAAGAAGCGCAAAAACTAAAAATACTGCTGGGCATGGTATGATACATGCCTATAATCCCAGCACTCAGGACGCTGAGGCAGGAAGATAACCACAAATGCAAGGCCAGCCTGGGCTGTATACACAGTGAGTTCAAGGCCAGGCTGGAACACTTAGTGAAACCCTGTCTGAACAAACAAACAAAAAACCCTAAATACAGTGATACCCTGGTTCACAAACTTAATTTATTATACAATTTTGGGGAAGATGGGCCATGTTTGTGTTTGTGTGAGAAAGATGGACACAGCTGTGTTTATCACCAATGTAGAGTTTGTAAATGGAAGCAGAATTTTGTCAAATGCTTTTGAGAATTGAACTGTTTTTGAAATGAAGCATTCATAACAGAGGTATTACTGTACAATGCTGTTGCTGGGGAAAAAAGTCAACATAAGGACATCATTGGGTCAACTAGTAAAACTTATTATGATTGTGAATTATACGTCCTATCAGTATTATAATTTCCTGATTTTGATAATTATTCTGAGATTGATTTATGATTTTATAACCACTAATGGCGGGGCACAGTGGCACATGTGTATAATCTCAGCACTCAGACTTAGACAGAAGGATCATGAGTTTGAGGCCAGCCTGGGCTACAAAGAGAGTTCAAGGCCAGGCAGGACTACACTGTGAGACCTTGTTTCAAAAAAAAAAGAAAAGAGTATACAGAAATAAATGAGTCATAGGGAGGGAAGGGGGCTTGAGGAGGGGAATGGAATAAAATTATTTAAAGAAGAAATAAATGAGTATAATAATTTTCCAATGATTTGGGTAGGGAAAATATAAAAGCAAATGTGGCAAAATGTTAACCGGTGAATTTCAGTAAGGTAATTTAGGCCTTCTTTGTACTGTTCTTGCAACTTTTTCTACAAATTTAAAATTGTTCTAAAATTAAACAAGACAGAAGAACACAAAGTTAAAACTACATTATCTGAATAGAAATAACTAATATATTAAGAAATATTACTTCAGAAGCCAGGGATTTAGCTTAGTGGTGCCATTCCTGCCTCACAAGTACAAGGTCCAGAGTTCAATCCCCGGTACCACCCCCCAAAAAATTACTTCAAATGTTTCTCTATGAACATATATTTACATATAAGTTTTCATAAATGGATTCAAGTATGTAAAACAGACTCTCGTGACTTTTTCAGAAACTCAATAAAATATCAAGAAAATCTTTTGATTGCTCTACATTATCATTTTAATGATTATATATTATTCTATATATTATACCATATAAAATTAAAAATAAACATTCAGTTGAGCAAAAGAAGTCAAACACAGTGAGTATCTGTGGTGATATGAGTGATTACCTTTGTAGGGGAATTTTATCTGAGAAGGGCCAAAAGGAGTCTTCTGGACTGCTAGAAATGTTCTCAATCTTTTTTGGTGGGGGGTGGTGTCAGGGATCTAACTCAGGACCTTACACTTGCCAGGCAGGCGCGGTGCCACTGAGCTAAATCCAGGCCCTGAAATGTTCTTAATCTTGATTAGGGTGATGACTACATAGGTATAATATATACACAAAATTCATGAAGCTGTATAGTTTAGATTTAAAATCTTTACTGAGTATATGTAATACCTCAAGAAAACACTTTTTCAAGATTTATATTTGGTTGTTTCTAATATGTTAGTATTACGTATGACCCCAATTTTGTTCAGAACCTCAAAGTCCCGAGTTTAAAAAAACAAAATAAATCACCACTTTCTCAAACTCATCTGCAGTGGGGATGACAATGACTCAGTTCTGGCTAGTGGAATATAAATGGAAGACTGCTGGATAGAACTCCCAGGAAAACTATTGTCCCTGCTTCTCTCTGCCTGAAACTCAGATGTGATGGCCAGAAGTGAAACAGCCACATTGTAAACGTTGAGATGAAAGCCATAGGTATGGATGATGATGGGAAAAGCTACAAGGGACCTGGGTTCTTGCTGGCTCCCCAGATCAACTGTTCTAGCCCTGGAAAGCTTAGCTCTAGACTATTACATGAGAAAAATTAATTACTAGTTACTAAACCACTTGCAGTTGGCCTTCTCTCACCCACAGGTCATTAAGGCAGCTCACAAACACTCAAGTTTTCTTGCCAAGCACATGACAGGATTTTACTTTTCACACTTTGAATTGGGCATGCCCTTATTTCCTTTGGCCAATCTCCTTAGATTTCCTTAGCAAAGGGACTTGTGTTGCTCTGGGTGGACAAAAATCCAGTGCTTGAGTCTCAATATTCCTTTCTCCTGTCCTATGAACTGATGATAATGGAAGTGCAGGTCAAGATAGTTTTAAGGGGCTTGTACCCCTGAGTTCTTGATATGGGCAAGTAGTGTGATGCAGGATTAACTCTCATTTAGTTACTTAAGTACTTAAGGACTGTTTACAACTGCAGCATAATATAGTTTATCCTAACACAACATTCACATTTGATTGTCTCTTTGGGAATAATTCCTAAAATATGCATGTTTTAAATTTTGATACCCATTGCCAAATTGTCCTCCAGATGTAGCCTGTTATATCTTTGCCAACACTGGGTTTCCATACTTTTAAACTTTGATGATCTGACAGGTAAGAAAGCTATGCCATTTCTCCTTTTTATTTCCTACCTTTCTAAAATCCTTACCCTTTCTTTTGCTGGGCATGGTGGTGCATGTCTGTAAGCCCAGCACTCAGGAGGCTGAAGCAGGATCACCGTGAGTCAAGGCTAGTCTGGGCTATGTAGCAAGTTCAAGGCCTGCCTGAACAAAGCGAGATACCATCTCATAAAAAAACAAAACACTCTCCCTTTTTAAATAGGAATTCTAGGAAATACACTGTAAAGGGCTAAGGTTCAAGACAGATTACAATTGGCAAGGAAGGAAAAGAAAGGAGCAAACATTTAATAAGCCCTTATTATATGCAGGTATTGTGGTTGGAGCTTTATTCAATGTTCATTCAACAAAAATTCAACACCCAGGAACTGCAGGTGTTAGAGAACAAAATGCCAAGTTTCCTCTTGGAAAAGTCTCTTGTGGATCTTTAATTGTTTCTGTATCTGTGGGGAAAACCATTTTACCATGTATCCTCAAATGATCAACAACTCAGAATGAATTGATTATGGACATTATTTATGTTTTCAATGCCAGCAGGAAATCATGTTTTCCAACTTTCCCAGGTCCAAAGAACATCCAGCTACCAGCTGCTGATTTTGTCTTCTAGTAGCAGTATGAGCATAATTGGAACTTCTGGGTCTTGCAGAGGAAGAAAATGCAAGGGAAAATAAAAGTGAGAAAAAAGAGCAATCCTTTTAGTGGGCAGGGATTTTTCAATTCCAGGCAGAGGAGGAATCTCATGGAGGAAGTACACAGTAGAATACAGCTTGTTATTTCCTGTTCAGAGTTCTCAAAGCTAGAAATCAGACTTTACATGTAAAATCTTTAAAGATTATACAATTAAGTCAGATTTTAGGGAAACACTATAATAGACAAACTAAATTTTGCTGGCCCAAAGCCTTTCTATCTGCTGACACTTTGTGACCTCCACTACTTTTCTTAGAATGTGGTCCAAGAGGGCTGGGGATTTAGCTCAGTGATTCCACTGCCTGCCTCACAAGTACAAGGACCCAAGTTTGATCACCGGTGCCAAAAAAAAGAAAGAATGAGGTCCAAGAATGACCTGCAACACTTACTCCAGTGTAAGGAACTAAGTTCTAGAGTGAGAGATTGATTCATTACCAAGCTCTTTTTCAGAATTAAAAAATAAAAGTATTGAGGGAAGGAAGGATTTAAGACAGGGTCTCCCTATGTGGTTCAGGCTGGCTTCCAATTTGTGGTGATCCTCTTGCCTCAGCTTCCCAAGTGCTGGGATTACAGGTGAGCACCACCTCTCCCGGCTTCCCCAGTCCACTCTTTTCTCAATAAATGGTGCTGTTAAATCTTATTTGTGATCTGCTGCTTATCTCTCTCCTTCACATGAACTGTATTTATTACATTGAATTTTTTTTAAGTGTTAGCACAATGTATGTCAGAATTTTGATTGTTGACCGATAATTAAGTTTTATGATGCAACAAATAATAGTTCCTAAATACTGGGAGGATATTTCCTAAAATTCTCCCTTTCAGTTTAAGGGATGCAGACCCAGTCCACTTTCTTTTTTTTTTTTTTTTAACATAAGGTCTTCTCGCTTATGTAGTTCAGACTGGCCTTGACCTTACTATGCACCTCAGGCTGGCTTCAAACTCATGGCAATCCTCCTGTCTCAACCTCCTCAGTGCTGGGACTACAAGTATGCATCACCATACCTGACTTTTACTACTTTCTTAAGACAACCAGCAAAGCCACGAACCAAGACCTGACAAGGTATTTGCTGATTTTCAATGTGTAAATAATCCTACCAAGGCTAATTTCAAAAAAATAATGTGAGGTCACTAAATGTGGAGCTAGGAAGAGATATACACATTTGTATAGCATTTCTAAAGTAATTATTAAAGATATAACCTCAAGGACATAAGTAACAAATACTAAATTCAGTAACATTAGAAAATAATGAGCTCCCAGTATTTAGAAAACTTGTTTCTAATATAACATTTATTTGTAGGCTCATAGCATTTAATTTTAATAATTATTGTGTTTACCACCCCCAACATTCCTGAAAATTTAACAATCGACTTTTGTGGGGAAGTGCAAGCCAGCTCCAGAACACAACTTCCTTATGGTTCAGATACATTGAGGCTCATCCTCCCACTCACCTCCTCTGGGAAGTATTCTTTAAGGGCTCCAGCTTCCAGAGAAGTTCCCCCTCTTAAATTCTTGGAACTTGCAATTTGCACCTGCCACTTGGTATTTGGCATTGATTGACAGCTTTGTCTATGCTCGGAATCTCATGGAGGAAGTACACAAAAAGGGAGCCAATCTTTTCCATCTTTGTATCTCTCTAGATTCTATACCAATGTATCATGACCTTGGCAAAAACTTAACAAATGTCTATGGTGACTTAACATGTAAGGCACTGACAGAAAGGTCACCTTAAATCCCAGCTCCCAAGAAGAGCTCTGGAGTCAAACAGAACTAGTAGAACCTTGCTTCTACCCCTCATCAACTATATGACATTCCATAGCAACTTAATCTCCCTGATCAACTGTCATAGTATCATAGTTCGTGTTCACATAGCCTTTATTTTACTTAATAATGGACCCAAGAACTAGAGTACTGATGCTAGGTAATTCAGATATGTCAAGAGAAGCTGCTTTCTTTAAGTATCATCTTATATCATCATAGGGGTAAATACAGTACAAACTATTTTGAGAGAGAACATTCATATAACTTTTATGACATTATATTGTTATAATTGTCCAATTTCATAATTTGTTATTATTAATCCCTTACTGTGCTTAGTTTACAAATTGAACTTTACAGTAGGCAGGTATGCATTGGAAAAAAGAGCATATAGAGCATTAGGTACTGTCTACAGTTTGAGATATCCACTGAAAGTCTTGGAATGTGTGCCCCGCCCCATTGGTAGGGAAACTACAGTACATCTTAAAGTTCACAACAGTCCCCTGCAGCAGGGAGGCCAAAGAATAATGTTTGCCTTGTCAGCTTGGATGAGGAAGGTCAGAACATGAAGCGAACTGTGTATATGGTGGAAGAGTTTGGCCACAGGACATTAGGGTTGGTGTGCTCTTCCTAGCTTCGCCCAACCACCATCACCACTGGACTCCTCACCTTGCAAATAATAATGATGCGGGATGACTCTGCCAAGTCTTTTGTGATCAGCTGCCCATATGAGAATTTCTCTATCTTGCCCAGTGCTACCAGCTGCCAGAGCCTCTCATCAGACCATGACTGAAACAGATCCATGTTCCTGCAGGGAAAATCTTGTTAGAATTTATCACCCTGTATTACATAAGGCACGCAGATCTGAGTGCCAAAGGGAACATGCTCTTCGACTCTTTTTTTGGTTGTTTGTTTGTTTTGTTTTTGACAGGGTGCTGTTATGTGATTCAGACTGCCTTGAACTCACTATATAGCCCAGGCTGGCCTCAAACTTGTGATCTTCCTGCCTCAGCCTCCCAAGTGCTGGGATTACAGGCGTGTACCACCATGCCCCATGCTGTTCTATTTGTAAAAATTTCTGAGGTGGAAGATTTTACTGTGTATTACTCAGTTAACTCGCCTAACCCAGAGCCAATCTCCTACACTCTCTTCTCAAGGCCCTCCCCTCCAGCCAAGTGCCTCTCTGACTGCTGCTCAGATATCTCTGAGTTGATCCAGCTTGAGCTTGTCATTCCTACTCCTCCATCCCTGCCCCCTGTAGGAAAAGATGAAAGCACAAGATGGCAGTACTTTGGTTCAGACTGTAGGGTAAAGGGGATCTGATAGACAGTGGGTTCTGTCAACAGGATCCGAGCACAGGCGCATCTTCTGATACCCCAGTGAAAATAACTTTTAGAGCCAAGGTCAATGCTGGCCAGTGCAAATAACTTATATAACCAAAGTTGTTACTGGCACATGGCCACTTTTGTGTATTTTGGTGTAAATGTAGACTAAGCAGCTGAGGATGACTGCAAGAATGGGAGACTAAGTGGCCAAGGACTGCTGCAAGTGTACAATAGCTGGGGCCACAAGAATAGCTAAACAGATAGACTATAACTGAGCAGATGAATAAAGATGTCTAGTCTAGTCCACACTTGTGTCTCTTCTTCAGGCTGCCCAAATCTCAAGTGACCCTCCCCAGTCTAAACTGGTAACAAGATACCCACCCCTGACTTTGGAGTCACTAAGCTAGACTCATTCCCAGGAACATGGCCAGAATATTTCCTACTTAAGTTCACTGGTTATTCTTTCCCCTGGCCCAATCATCCTGGTCCTACTTTTACTTGGGCAGCTCACTCCACCCATCTCCTCTGTCCTCCTGGCTCTCGGCCTAGGGAGGTGAGGTACTTCTGGATTCTCCTGTTTGCCTGTTGTCCCCTGTGATCAAAGGCATACAGTACAGTGACCATCCTTTCCTCTGACTTCCTCCACCACCAATCACAGACTTGTTTTCCCTCACATGTGTCTAACAGGGCTGCTAACAATCATCTTAGATTTTCTCAACATCAACAGGCTACATTTGCAGAACTCAAGAGACTCAGGTTGAGTTAGCACATTAGACTCAAGGTTAACTTAGACTAACTTAAGTTAATTCAGGTCTCACCTTTACCCTTACTAGGTTAGGAGAGAAATGTTACCACCCCCTTTTACAGAACAGAAGGATAAAGCTCAGAGAATTGAAGCAACCTTTTAAAAGTTACTTTGCTGATACGCCTGTTAAGCAGAATTTGCCATGGATCTGGGATGGGTAACTGTGCTGGATCCACAGACCAAACCAACAGAGTTTAATCGCAGTAACTGAGCTAACTGGGTACAGGAAGCCCTGCATAGCCAGTTAAATGATTACTCTATAAACACTGAATTAGTTAAACTGTAACCAATTGACTGGATAACTGACTAGGCCGTAGACAATTATGTTGTTTTCTAAGCCTCATTTCTGCTTTCCTATAAATGCTGTCTGATCTCATTATTGGTTGGAATTCTCAGAACTTGTTTAGTTGTGAGAACTGCCTGACTCTCAAATTATTTTTGCTTTGCTCTGCTCAAATAAACAAATTTAGTCGGTCTATGGAATTTTCCCTTTAACAAGCCTAAGAGCAGAGATAAGTCAGACCTATTTTTCCACAGTTTGAAAAAAAATGGAACAGCTTCTCCCTTCAAAACTAAAACCTCCCTTTCCCAGGCCCCATCCTTTTTGTGATGCTGGGACTTTCTTGGTCCTATCTTACTCATCTCTATAGCTTTATCACACTGCAACCAGTATTTTTAAGAGCCAGTGCAGATGTTTCACTGGATTTTTGTTCTTTTACATAAAGACAAATAACTAAAGAATAGCTAAATGGGATTTGGCTTATACATCTCTATGTGGCCTTTCATGTACGTAATCAGAACAAAAATCTTTTGCTTTATATGAATTGGGTTTTGTTGTTGTTATCATATATGGTTCCCATAACTAAGGTGCTTACTTTCAGCCCCACATATGGCTGAAATTATTTGTATCCCATAACTGATTTTTTCAGTATTTATTTGTTGGACATCTGCATGTGCCTAGAACAATGACGTGAGAATTACAATGGTGAAATGACAAATCTGTCCCTGCCACTACACTGCTTACTGTCTGACAGAAAGTGTAAACTACAGGAGAAATTTTTATGCAGTGAAGAATTACAGTGTAGGGAACCATGAACGATTGCTCCTCTGTGATGACCCTCTGCCATGTGCCATTCTGCTTCAGAGCCAGCCAATTAGGGACTGGAACTTCTACAAACTGTGAGCTAAATAAACCCTTTCCCCTTAAAAAAAAAAAAACTACAGTGTGTATGGGACTTTAAAGAAACACAAGATGTAAGAGAGGCATAGATGGGGTATCCTTTCTATTCTGGGGTGAGGACACCTGGGGTGGGTTAAAGAAGTAGCATGGTTGAGTCCCGGGAACTTCTGAATCAGACATTCTGAGCACTGGGCATGTCATTATCCTAATCCTTGCTTCTCTCTCCTATAAACTGAGGAAAATAAGAGAACCAACCTCATGGGATTGAATGTGAGATTAGATGTGACAAGTGTTTATCACCCTGCCTGGCCCAGCAAGTGTTCAATCTATGTTAGCTGGTCTTATTTTTACTCTCCCAGAGGAATTCGACTGAGTTCAGACCTGAAGGTATAGTAGGAATTTGGCTAGACAGAAAGTTGGGTGGGAGGTTTTTTGTTGGTTTTGGGGTTTTTTTTTTTTTGGTGGGGGGAGATTGGTATTTCAGAGCAATCTAGGTGGAGAGAACAGCACCTGGGATGTTTCCTACCAAGTCTAGGAAAAAGTCAAGCATTAAAGAACAAAGGAGAAAGATGTTCAGTGAGGTGGAGTTACCTAAATAATTCAAATCGATATTGAGCATCCTTTTGAATTTCCTCATCCAGATTATTAGCAAGGAAGTCCTCCCGGTCAACAACCAGGAACTCTGTCTGCTCCATGCAGACCACGGTGGCCCACCTTATGGATGTATTCAGAAGAGCCTTTTCCTGTTGGGTGGACAGGAACAAGGCCAGGTGTGAGGCCACCTCCAGCTTTCTGCGCACAGCCCTGCACTTGCCTTCCCTTCTATCTCCCTCCTGAAACATCTCCCCAGACTTCAGGCTCCTTGGTCCTGACTATACTCTTGCTTTCTCTCCTATGTGATCCCCCCACCCACACACACACACACACTTTATCTTCTGCTGGTGGAAAAAGAGGCAATAGGCCTGGAGAGGCCAGAGGAGAAGAAGCTGGAGAGGCCTCACTGTGGAGTCACTGTATCTTGAGGGGTTATTTAGTTAACACACTTCTTAAGCATTGGATGAAGAAGTCAGTTTTGAACATTACCTGGTCCAATTCATTCAGCACTTGATAGATAAAGGCACTGGGGCCCAAATAGGGCCTAGTCAAGAGGTTTGAGCAGGACTCCTGTTCAACCCAGCTGGGACCCAAGAAGCCAGACCCCTCCCCCCACCTTACCCCAAAACAACTGCCCTTCCGCAGCAATGTTGGGTGGGGGTCTAGGAAGGCACTGCTGCCATCTTCATCCTCTGTCACTGCAACTGTCCCTAAGTAGATGAAGTAAAAGCTGCTGCCCCTCTGCCCCTTCTTGATGATCACACGCCTGCGACCAAACCTGGGGAAAGAACACAGATAGCAATAGGAAGGCCTGCCCATGCTATGAAGAGTTCTCTGAGGTCTGAAAGCACAGACCTTGATGAGAAGGGACTTCAGAACAGCACAGTCCCTACCCATCAAGCTGGACCCCTTCACTAACACCCATCCAGCTACCTGAAAGTAGAGCTTTTGTTGGTCTGGTTTATAATTGCTGTTTGGGCTCAGGCACATGGTAAATGCTCAGGGAACAGCAGCTGAATAAAGGAAGAGATGCTGAAAGCAATGAATGGATTAGAAGAGTGGCTAGATGATTACAAACACTGGCTTTAGAGTCAGGCTAGGATCCCAATCCTGGTTCTGCCCTTGACTATGTGACACTGAGCAGCTTATGTTCCCTCTGAACATGCCTGGGAAAGAGGCAGTCTTATTATTCCCTAGCAACTCACTACCCAATTGGGCATTCTTAAAGGAGAGGCATCCAGGCACAGAGCAAAATAAGATTTAGTTCTTAAATTCAGACTTCAATGATGACTCAAGGAAACACCAATCTGGCTCAGAAAGAACTAACCCAAGGCTCTGACTTGAATGACCAGAAAGAGTGTCTTTCTTTCTCATCAGAGTAAGATTGGAAAGATGGAAGTCAAGGGAGAAGCTGTGATCATGACAGCCACCTTGCCACTATGAGGGGAGAAATCAGACGAGAAGCCTTTTTATGAGTAAAGTGTCAAGAGATAGGGAGAAGCTAGGTGTAGTGGGTGGTGTCTGCCTATAATCCCAGCTATTCGGGAGGCTGAAGCAAAACCTTGAGTCTAGCCTGGGAAATCTAGGGGCTTAGCAAGACTTTGTCAGAAAAAGAAAGAGAGAGAGGAGAGGGGAGGGGAGGAGGGACCCACTGAGTCCTGGTAACACTGAACCCCCTGAATCCAACCGAGCCTGAAACTGAAGAACTAGCCCAGGAGTTTTTATGAACATGAGTCACCAATTTTCTTGGGCTGCATTTTCTCATACTCAAAATGGAAGAATCCTGTCTAAACTGCTAATTCCCAGTCCCAGAAACAGTCAACAACTAGCAGGTGGTTTTAGCAATCACCATCTTACTTATCTTCCCCCAAATCTTATTAGCCCTAATGTAATCCAGAAAATCTGTATTATTATCCTTATTCCACTGGTGAGGATACTGAGGCTCAGAATGGTTAAGTGGCTTGCACAAGGTCATACTGGGGCAGATGTGGCACCAAATGCCTGAACTTCTAGCTCCATAATTCTTTTTCTCCTTTTGACACCACTCTGCCTGCTTTGGAATCTTTACAGACAGTGGTGACCCACTCTTTTCCCCTGGACTAGAACAAAAGAAATAGTTCTCTCTGCTTGGAATGTCCTGGTCTACACCTCTACAACCTGTTAAAATGCAACCTTGCGGGACATGGTAACACACATCTATAATCACAGCACTTGGGAAGCTGAGGCAGGAGGACTGCTACAGGTTCAAGGCCAGCCTAAACTGCATAGCAGGACCTGTATTAAAAACAAAACAAAACAAAAAAAAACTCTTCTATAAAAAACTTATGACCAAGCCCTAAAAGATCCTGCACCGGTCATATACGGTTCTAACCTGTAAATGGTTGTGTTTACATGGTAGACTGCAGCCACCATGAAGGAGGAGGTCAGGGTACAAATCTATACTGATCTTACATCCTGAATTTCCCAAAGAGAGCTAATATCAACTATCCTGCTAGGCTGTTCCTACAAAGCCACCCAGCAAAGGTAGTATTTCCACATGTATCGCTTAGACTTCTCTAGCACAAGATATATTTATATGGCACTTCTTGTGCCATGGACAACTTGACATTCTAGTAGAGACTTCACAGAATAAAAATAAAAGTAAGCAGAATGATAGTTAACAAATGTTTTTAAAAACCAAAATTTGGGATATAGCAATGTTGTGCATCTTTATTAAAGCACTGAATAACAAGATCTAGCAGATCAATAAACATCCTATTCTGAAGATGTGATGAATATAAATTTTCACAAATTGTTACAAAAACCTGTAGCAATATGGGCCAGTAATGCAGCTCAGTGGTGCTGTGCCTGCCTGCAAGTGCAAGGTCCTGAGCTCAATCCCCAGTACAAAAAAAAAACAATTTTAACATGAATTGAAAATATCTCTGATTTCTTTTGGTAAAAAAGATGCAGGTGCACTGACACTGAGCTAAATCCCCAGCCCAGACAACACCCCCACCCTGCTCATACCAGAGACAGAACTCAGGATCTTGCACCTGCAAGGTAGGCACAGTATCACTGAGCTACATCCCTAGCCCAAGCAATTCTTTTTTTTCCAAGAAATTCTGCCAAGAAACAAAAGCAAATTTCTTCCATTCCTCCATGGATTTGGATAAAAATTCATAATAAAGTCAGGTACAACTCAAAGGGGAGACACTGGAGGAGGACCGAGCTGGGAATATAAGGAATTGCACATGAGCTACAGCATATTTATTCTGCATGGAGGTCACAAAATGACACATTTATTCTGTATGAAGGCCACAATCATCTTACCATATTGAACTGAAAATGTTACCACTGTCTGATGGACAGTTGGGCATATGATTTTTCTATGAATCAACACTAGGAAGTGGACAATAAATGGTAAAACCTTTTTTAAAAAAAGATACAAATATGCTCTGCCTATCTCTTACCATATGATGCCTTGGGACTCTGTCAGTCAGAAGGTTATTATCATTAGATGTGGACCCTCAACTTTGGCCTATAGTATGAACTAAATAAGCCCCTTTTCTTATAATTTACCCAGTCTGTGGTATTGTTATTACAACAGAAAATGGACCAAGGCCTGATGACTAGGTCACCACTGACTTTAGTTTCTACATGTGAAAAATGAAGGAATTTTCCAGGTTTTCCAGGTGTAGTGGTGCACACATATAATCCCAGCACTGAGGAGGCTGAGGCAGAAAGATCATCATGAGTTCAAGGCCAGTTTGGGCTACACAGTGAGTCCAGGGCCAACTCGAACTACATAGTGAAACACTGCCAAAAAAAAGAAAGACAGAGAGAAACAAAGAGAAAAGAAAAGAAAAATGAGCAAATTGGAGCAGATTCTTTCAGAGAGTCCTACCAGGACCTTTCTAATGTCTCTATAATTGTAGGAAGACTCAATAAGTGAATGAGATAAACTGAGCTGGCACTCAGGTGAACTAATAGGCAACATGGCTGATACACTGTAGCAGGGAGGACAGGACCTGATGCAGTACATCTTCTCAGCTGGGTTCTTTCTGTTCAGCCTAGCCCAGGGACCAAGGGCTGTGCCTTTCACTAACCGTTCAAAGCGCATGACCTTGGCCAGGAGCAGCTGCAGGGGCTCTGTGTAGTTTTGGAAGCTATCCAGAGACTGCAGGATGTTGCGAAGGACCTGGATCTCGTGCTCCTCCCTCCAGGAAGGCTTCTTCTGCGTGATCTTAATGGCCTTTGGAGGGAAGTGACCCTGGGGAGATGAGACCAGATCCAGCAGTGTCATGCATGAGCCAGCTGGTAACTCCCCACACTCCTACTGACATGCTTCCCTATTCTCCAATCTAACAGTGATGGACATACATCCCCGTGCGTGAGGCATCTTATATGCCCATTTCACCGTATCCTCACCTATTCCAGGAATCATTATTCCTATTTGACAGATAAAAGAAACTCAGGTGGGATTTCAAGTAGATCTGCCACATGCCAAAGCTCCTAACCCCAGGTGACACCAGGCTCCCAGAGCTCAGGGCATCTTGCCACATCTACTTGATGCAATCATACCATAATTAGGGATACTTCTGCCCTTGTCTCAGCAGGACCACCTTCTCTGTGCTAAAGCTAGGTAGCCATGAGTCACTGAGCCTCTACCTGTAGGTGTAGTCTGTAACACTGAATTTTTCCTCTTTGACCTCTTCTCTCCCTCAACTGATATACACAGAATTATCCTCAGCTCTAGGGTTCTGTGGCTACCACCCAGATAGGGTCCTGTTTTCTCATGTCTGAAAGGTAAAATTTAGGTAATCTTCAACAATGCCTAATGCTGGACCCTGGGTAGAAAGCTGAAGAAACACAGAATTTGGATGACTTATATAATTAAGCTTCATGCATGAGAGGATATGAGAAATCTAACTAAGGTCAGGAGAGGATGGCAACAGAAGCCATATATTGGGCCCCAAGGGAGTGAGAGGGGCAAGGGATGGGCACTGGTGGTCTGAGTATTAATTTTAAAGTTCGGTTCTTGGGCTCCAGTGCACGTCGTCGCTGCCGCCGCTGTGTCAGCACCCCTCGGGAGACTCCATTTGCTCATGGTGTGGTCTGGCTGCAGTGCTGCCAAGTTGGGAGCGATGCCCACATCCCCTGCACCCAGTGGCCGCTCTCTGGCTGTCGGGCTGTGGCCGTGACAGCAGATTGCAGGTGTCCAGGCCAAACCCAGGCTCCATTGCAGGAGGAAAAGCTTTCCACACTCCACAGCTGGCCAGGTGAGGAGGCCCTCGCTCTCTCGGCTTCTCCCTGACCTCTTAATTTGAGGAGGTTTCAGAGGTTCCAAGTACTTATGCAGCCCCACAGGAATTGCTTCTATTGTACCCTGGAGGATCAGCTTTTGCCAGAATTATTGTAACATCTTCACTGCACCTTCACCCATAGGCTCTACCTTGGGGGTTTGATTCCCACCAATGAAGTTTTCAGTGCTTTCTTTAATCATGTGACTCCACCACTTGCCCACCTTTCTCCTTTCCAGTAGTCAAATCCATTATGTGTAAGTTTGTGTTGCATTCAAATAGAGTTTCCTGCCTGTCCACTTTTACTTCCTTTGCACCTCTCACTTCTGTGCAGCTTGTTATGCTTTTCCTAAGTGCTTTTCTGTGCAACCTGTACTACTTCTTCGCTTAGAGGAGATAGCATTTGTTACAATTTAATGCCTGACAAAAACAACATAAAAAATAAGTTTTCTCATATTTTCCTGTATGTCAGGTTTGCAAGTCTTTTCTTGACTTAAATTCTGTTTTCCTGCACATGTCCCAAAATACTCAACCTGAGTCCTAGTGACTTTAACAAAGAACCTTACCTGCACTGATGGCAGATTTAAGTATGCAGTAGGACCCTTTTAGAGATCTTAGCAGTGTAGTACTGGTCCAGTTTTAGCCTTTCATAAAATCACACATTTATTTGAGAAAAAAAGATGGAGTTAATTAATTGGAGCTCTTCCTGATTGTAGGAACTATGTAAGTTTTAAAGTCCAAGTGAAGAGATTCTTTTAGACCTTGTCTGGAAATTGGCCATCACACTAAGTCCTAGGGCACGGATGAATGAATGATCTTAAGATTCTGTTTTCTAGTCTCTCTATTCAAGTCTAAGTTGTTAATTATCTTGTAGTAATCACCTGAAATATGAGACACTTAAAATGTTGGGGAAACATAAGCTTGTGGTATTGACAATTAAAGACAAACTTGATATTATTAAGAAACTTGATGCTGGGCATGGTGGCGCACGCCTGTAATCCCAGCACTTGGGAGGCTGAGGCAGGAGGATCGCTGTGAGTTCGAGAACAGCCTGGGCTACACAGTGAGTTCCAGGTCAGTCTCAACTACATAGTGAGACCCTGTCTCAAAAAAGAAACTTGAAAAAAAAAAAAAAGAAACTTGAAGCCATCTCTTTCAAAAAGGATTATAAACTATGCAAACAGTTCAGATCCCACGAGTAGGGTGTCCAAACGTAAATCTATGAAGTCATCAAGCTATGAGGAACTTGATGGAGTGATGACAGAGTATTTTAACCAACAGAAGACAGATGGGGTTCCAGTGTCTGGAACTATTTGTGCAAAACAAGTCAAGTTTTTTTTTTATTCTTTGGAGATAGAAGGCGATTTTAACACATCAGATGGCTGGCTAACTTGATTCAAACAGTGCCATGGTATCCCAAAGGCTGCTGGTAAAGGAACAAAATTAAAAGGAGATGAAACTGCTGCCAGTGAATTTTGTGGTAACTTTCAGAAATTTGTTAAGAGAGAGAATCTACAACCAGAGCCAAGTTATGGTGCTGATCAAATTGGGTTTTTCTGGAAATGTCTACCATTGAGGACATTAGTTTTTAACCTGAGCAAAATACTTCACAGTATAGGTCAAGCAGAGAGAATCTTTATAATGTGTTGTGCAAATGCCACAGGCTTACACAAATTTAATTTGTGCTGTGAGGAAAGCAAAAAAAGAAAAGTGTATTCAAAGGAACTGACCTTTCAAACCTTCCTGTCACTTACTTCAGCCAAAAAGGTGTGTAAATAGAACAGTCTGTTTTCAGACAGTGGTTTGATAAATATTTTGTGCCACAGGTACAGAAGCATTTGAGATTCAAGGGTCTTCTAGAAAAAGCAGTGCTCCTTTTGGATTCCCCCCCACACAGCACGTCCATATGAAGAACTGTTGAGTTCAGATGATGACAGTATAATTGCAAAGTATTTGCCAGCAAATGTCACAAGTCTAATTCAACCAATGAGCTGGGGGATTTTAGTCACAGTAAAAAGATATTACCAAGCAGGACTTCTCCAGAAGTATATGGATGAAGGAATTGACCCAAAAATGTTTTGGAGGAACTTGACAGTGTTGGATGCAATTTATGAGGTGTCCACGGCTTGGAACATGATAAAAGCAAGTAACATAACCCAAGCATGGAGAAAACTTTTCCCTGGCAATGGAGAAAATTCAGTTATGAACACTGATGAAGAAGTCATTTTAGCTGCTAACTTAGCGACAGTTTTACAAAATACAGAAGACTTTGAACACATTGACATTGAGAATATTGATCAGTAGTTTGACTCTTGGATTAATGACTCAAGCTGTCCAGTGCTGACAGACAGTGAAAGTGCTGAGGACCAGGCCACAGCTGCTGAGTGGGAGCCTTCCAGCAAGACTAGAAGAGCAGAACTGAATCCTGAGAAACATATTAGCCACAAAGCTGCACTTGAATCAATTGCAAATTCATTGAGTTATCTAGTTCCCAGCTTTGGAAAGGTAGACTCAGCGCTGAGGCTGGGTGGCCCTGGGAGGGTGGTGGGGTACCAGGCACAGGGGCCTGGTTCATTCTCCAAGACAGTCTGCATGGGTACAGATGAGGAGACTGAAGTGTTGGGGAGCTGCGCCCAAGGGGAGATGGGAGGTGGTAGGGAGTGACGTGTTGTCACAGATCCCATGTGGTGCATAGGAAGTACCTGCACCCATTCTGAGTCCTGCATGGTCAGGATGGTGGATTGCCCGTTAGGTAGGCTCTTGTGCCCAGGAGGGTAAGCAGCCAGGGCCACAGCCAGAGTGGAGGTTGTACCCTGGGCTTTCCCTGACCTTTCCTGGGTCTGGTGGAGTTGGGGCTGCTTGCTCCTACCCAGCACTATGCAGTGGGTTTCCAGCTGCACAGGAGGTCAATGTGGGCCATCAGTCCTGGCTCCTGGGGCTGCAGCTCCCAGCAATGGAGTCTGGAGGGAAAGCTGGGGTGCCTGCTGAGTCCTGTGTTCAGCCTAGAGGGATCTTCCTTCCTCTGGTCATGGCCAGTGCCTGTGGGGCCTTCACACCCTGGCTTGGGTGGCCAAGCCACCCCTTGTGGCCCTGGGCCAGCTTTGCAGGTCTCACAAGCTTCTGTCTGATAAAATGGTATTGTGGAGGCTTTGAACCATAATAAGCAGAAAACAAACAATTCCCTCACCCCGCCCCCGCAAAAAAAAATCATTCACAGTGCTCTTAAGTGTTTCATCGTGTTTTCATCCTTGTGACTATATCTGCAGTGGAACTGACCTTGTTTGAAGTTCTGTGGATTCAAAGGCCAAATACATTTTATAAATGATTTTAGCACTGGATGCCATTTTGGAGCACCAAAATCACAGCTCTTTAATGTTGACTCTGGTAACTGAGCATTATCACGTAACTTGTCTGTCTATTGTTTTTAATCTGTATTATACTAACTAGATTATAAGGTACCTAAGGCCAGGGATCTCTGTTTTGTGCCTGAATCTCAGTGTGTCTAATAGAAGTCCATGAACATTATAGGCACTCAATAAATTTTACTTAAATAGAAAAAAAAAAAATAAAGTTCTGTTCTTTCCCTCTGCCCTGAGAGAAAAACCAACATGACTACTCCACACCAAGTTCAAGTCAGGTCTGCATTAGTGAGAACTTCAGCTGTCCCTATAAATAGGTAGATTCCTTTAAATTTAAAATTGGATTTTAAATTTTAATTTAATATTTAGGATTTTTTGGGTAAAGTGAGAAAGATCACAATTATGTTTGAAATTCAGTTGTACATCCCAGCACCTCACATGGACATGAAGACATTCCCTTATCAGAATAGGAAAACTTTTGAAGGTCATCCAGTACCTGGGTGAGGCATAGGTGTGCCCACCCTCTTTTAGATAGTTGAGGGCAGAACCAGAATTTGCACACTGGTTTTTCCTACCACCTGCCTTCTTTCTTCTCTGTCTGGACGTCTTAAATCCTTTGCTTTGCTTTCTGTTGTTTTCCCACAGGTCCAAGCCCAGGATCTCTCCCCCACTGGTTCTACTCAGCTACAGTGACAACTGGTTCAGGAGCACTTAGTCTTGGAATGCCAGGGATGGACAGAATCAATATCATCAGCTATTTATAGATGAGAAAACTAAAGTGGCTTATTCAAGGAGGACACACTGGATTGGTGGCAGAGCCTGGACCAAAATCAATTCACCTAATGCCCAGCCCAGTGCTTCTTCTAGGCCAACACACAAAGAGAAAATCCATAGAAAGATTAGAGCTATCCATACCTCTTCTGCAATGAAGTCCGTGGTATCAAACGTAATTCGGCCTTGCTTCTTTTTCTGAAAGAAGAGGCAGGGAGAGGAGAGAGAATGAGAACAACTCCTCCTGGAATTCTGCATCCAAGCCCTTCTGTTTACCTGGGCTATGGGAAACCTCCTACTAGCTGGCCCTTTCATGTTCACCTTTGCTCAAAAGCCCCAGCTAAACACTACACCATGCCTAGTACTGACGACATTGTGATGAAGACAGAAAAACATGCAGGTGGAAAGGGGAACAGGGGCTGAGGGGAAGAAAACACAGAAGGATAGAGGGGAAAAAGGAAGAGCGAAAATAGGCAATCAAACAGGAAAGTATAGAGAAGGAATACAAAAGAAGGAACAAATGAAGCCAAGCTTTAAGTGGGCATAGTGATTGCTTCTCAGCTTTTTGGCCAAGATCAAGTGAAGCGGGCATAGTGAGCCAAGCACAGTAAATTGCATTGTTTTCATCTTATTTCATTTAGTCATTTGGACAAAACAAAACAAACAAAAAATATATATATATACATATATGTATATATATAATATATAGATAGATAGATATAGATATATAGATAGATATCTGCTTTTTTATAATACCACCCCCCCACCAAGCCCCTTGGGCTTGATCTCTTTTTTCTTTTTTTCAGTACCGGAGATCGAATTCTGGTTCTTGTGCTTGCGAGGCAGGTGGCAGCACCACTGAGCTAAATTCCCGGCCCTGGGCTTGATGTCTTGGCAGTCTTCCTGCCTTAGCCTCCAGAGTACTTTACAGGCATACGCCACTATGCCTAGCTACGGCAGATTTTATTAAGCCCCACATTGGATTTGAGATGAGCAAAGGAACTTGCCCAAGGACCATTTACAGCAAGTAAATGGCCCAGCTGGGATCTGAACCCTGACTTTTCTAGAGCATGTAGAGAGGAGGAGGAAAGAGATCTTGGGGATCAGCTAATGTAACCTTGTCTCCTGAGAGATGGAGAGATGATGTGGAAAGAGTAGAGACTATGCACTAAGAGGTGGGGAAAGGAAGGAGACAAACCAGAGACCCGTCTTCCACTCTGGGCATGCCTCATACTGTTCCCTAACATCCTTGTGGATCTCTGCCTTCTCCCCTCTCCCCTTTATCACTTGAGCATCCATGTAGTTTTTGTCAGGGAGGTTGCTGAAGGAAGAGGTAGTGCTCATTAATAACCAGAATTAGTCTCTCTCTTGGCTCTCTCCACCTGATCACAACCAAGCCCTCAGATTCCCACTTGACAGCCACATGACCTCTGTAGTGTGCCCTTGCATAGACTTCTGCTCTATTTAAGGACACTCTTATTAGGCAGTGTTATTGGGCTTAGCCTCAACATCTCCAACACCAAGCCCGACTCTGGGTCTTGTGCTTCTGCCCCATGCATTAGCCCATATCTTCGAGCAGTCACATCTTCCTGACAGCCAAAAACCAATGCTTTGTCATTTCATTCCACCCTGAAGACCAGATTGTCTTTCCTAAGAGCAAACCTGAGTCCCTTGAGTTATAATTCTACTCCATTTTTCCCCATCTCATGATTCAACCCACAGGGCTCCACACTTGTCTGGTTTGGCCAGCATAGTGTCTTAAAAGTATGTAGATGAATCTGAATTTCAAAAACACATGTCCTCCAGCTGGCCCAAAGGCCTTACTCCTCCTATCTCTTAACTCAGCCCTCCTATATCTAACTCCTGCTACATCTTAACTCATAAACAAATGGAAAGTTGCCTCCTACCCTCTCTTCAGCCACAATCCTTCAGAAATCATTTCCAGAAATTTGTTGGAATAAATTCTTGTATGGAGGGAGTTAGGGCTGGGTCTAGTCACTCTTAGCACAAGAGGGAAATGGTCAGGGTTTATCTAGGTACGAGCTGGGGAAACGCTAAAACTCTATGTAACACACAAAAGATACTTTTGGGGGCCCAGGACTAGTTAATAGAATGGTGACCAACTTTTCATTATTTCCAAGCCAAAAAAAGGCACATGATCTACTACTGGAATAAAATATTTTAAGTCAGAACCTTCTAGAAAAAATCTAGAAAGAATGATATCATAGTGAACAAAACTATTAAAATGCTCCAATCATTTAAGTGGCAGGGATAGGAAAGAAAATAAAGATGATACACAGTTTGAGGCATTCAAAAAACCTTATCTCTTGGAACCAGAAGAGATCAGAATAGCAAAAGCACTTCTAGGCAATAAAAGCAAAGTCTGGCTTTAAGCTATTCTACAAAGCCACAGTGATATAAATGGCATAATATTGGCACAAAAAGACATGTAGATGGTTCAATGGAACTGATACAGGATGCAGAAACAACCCTAGACACATTCATCTATTTGTTCTTTGACAAAGGGTCCAAACACATATGTTGGAGGAAAGATAGCCTCTGTAGAAAATGGGTGCTGTAGCCAGGTGTGGTGGCGCATGCCTGTAACCCCAGCACTCAGGTGGCTGAGGTAAGAGGATCGCTATGAGTTTGAGACCAGCCTGGGATACACAGTGAGTTCCAGGTCAGTCTACTACATAGTGAGACCCTGTCTCAAAAATTTAAATAAATAAAATAAAATAAAATTTCAGGCCAGGGATTTAGCTCAGTGGTTCCACCATCTGCCTCACAGGCTCAAGGTCCTGAATTCAACCCCCAGTACAAAAAAAAAA